CTCTCTCTCTCTCTCTCTCTCTCTCTCTCTCTCTCTCTCCCTTTTCCCCTCCTCCTCCTGTATCTCTCTTCTTTCCATTGGAGATCGGGCCCAGAGCCTTCACACTGAGCCACATCCCCAGTGCTTTTTTTTTTTTTGGGTACCAGGAATTGAACTCGGGTCCTTGTGCTTGCACAGCAGGCTGTGAAACCACTGAGCTAAATCTCTGGTCCTCCCCCGCACTTTTGAAATTTTAAGACAAGATCTCTCTAAGTTGCCCAGGCAGGGCTCAAACTTGCAATCCTCCTGCCTCAACCTTTCTGGATGCTGGGATTACAGGCATAGGCCACCACTCCTGGCTTTATAGCTTTCCTTTAATCATAAGTCTAGGGCCTCTGCTGCGGTAGGAGATATCAGCCACCCCAGTCAGAGGCCAGACAGGGCCAAAGGCTGGGGTTGCTGGCTCCTGGGAAAGCCACATTGTTCAATGACTTCTTTGCCCCATATCCCCATTCTACTGCAGCCAACTCTAGTTGGCAACTCCAAGAGTCCAGACCCCATCCATTCCTGGGAGACATAGTAGGAATGAGGAAATGACAGTTTGGCTTGGGGATCTGAATCCTGGCTCCTCCTGGCCACTTGGGCCTCCTGTGTACTAAGGGGCAGGTGGAGAAGCGGGACGGGGGGACCTGTGGGAGCCTGATGGGGACCCATGTGCCTGTAACACCCCACACCCCTGGCCCAGGCACCTGCATGGCAGCAGAACCCAGACTAACACGTGCATGCGCCATGCAGTCAGGCCGACAGCAAGCACACAAGGACGTGTATATGCATGGGACCGCACAAGTACACGCTTCCCCCACTCACAGCCCACTTCCACCCACCCTGAGCCGGATTCCTGGCCTCGGCCAGAACCCATTAAGCAGCACCATGCAGTGGTCAAGTCCCCAGACTGCTCTTAGATGCTGACTGGGTCTGAATCCTAGTTCTGCTGTACACTAGCTATATTTGGGGGCAAATCCTCTCATGTTTGTGTGCCTCAGTTTCCCTATCTACATCCCTTTGTTTTTTGGTACCAGGGATGGAACTCGGGACCTTGCGCTTGCAAAGCAGGAGCTAGAACCACTGAGCTAAATCCCTGGCCCTTAGTTTCCCTATCTACAAATGAGAGTGAGTGATGATATCCACTCCCACCAGACATGATGGCGCACATCTGCAATCCCAGCACTCTGGGAGGCTGAGGCAGGGGGATTGCCAAAAGTTCAAGGCCAACCTGGGCTGGGGCTGGGGATGTAGGTCAGTATAAAGGCCTTAGGTTCAATATCCAGTACTGGAAAAAAAAAATCTCTTGGGTTGGGCCGGGGATTTAGCTCAGTGGTTCCGGCGCCTGCCTCACAAGCGCAAGGTCCCAAGTTTGATCCCCAGTACCAAAATACATAAATAAATAAATAAAAATCTCTTGGGTTGTCACAAGCGGTGTTTTGTGTATATGGTAAAACCCCATGCAAAGGATGCTGCATCCTTTATCAGGCCGGCTTTTCTGGGAAGCAGACTCAGGTGGAGCAAGCATCCAGGAGCAGGGCTGGGAGGCAGGCATGTTGCAGGCTTCAGGCAGCCCCTGGGGAGCCCTGCAGCTGAGCTGGCCATCGGTCAGTCAGAGTTGTCCAGAGTGAGGTGGGGGTCTGGGCATTTGCACCCGGGCTGACCAGGCGAGGGGAAGGGACAGTGACCTGGGCGCGAGGGCTCTCTTCAGTCATGGGCTGGCTACAGAGCGGGTACCGAGCTGTCAGCAATCGGCACCTCTGTGTATAGGGAATGTGCGCCCCAGTCCTTAAACAAGATCAGGGCTGCACCCCTCAGGCCATCGCCAGCAAGGGCCCATTTTCTCCTCTTGTTCGCAGACTCCAAAAAAGAACCCCTAAGACAAAGAACAAGGATCAGGAACTCAGCATTCCCTGCCTTGGCCCTCAAACCAGGGTGTTTGCTCATTTATTCCAGGGCACCCTGTTCAAACCTCAGGATCCCACCCAGCTGTCCTTGACAAATGATAAGTAAGGCTAACATTAAGCTTCTGCTCAGTGGATGTGCACCAGATCTTAGTACTTTAAATGGATGAATTCATGTAATGATCACAGCAACCCTGCGAGGTAGCTACATTATCCACAGTTTACAAATGAGAATACTAAGACACAGAGAGGTTAGGTAATTTGCTTAAGGTCACACAGCTTGTATGTGGTACAGCCAGGATTTTAACTCAGAATCTCGCTTCAGAACTCAGTCTTATTTGGGTGCTGTAGTGCACAGCTGCAGTTCTATCTATTTGAGAGGCTTGGGCAGGAAGATCAGTTAATTCCAGCAGTTCAAGGTCAACCTAAGCAATATAGCAAGACCTTGTTTCTAAAGAGAAGGAGGGGCCAGGCCTGGTGGTGCATGCCTATAATCCCAGAATATGGGAGGCTGAGGCAGGAGGATTGCTTTGAGTTCAAGACCAGCCTGGGCTACACAGTGAGTTTAAGGCCAGCCTGAACTGCATAGTGAGACCCTGTCTCAAAAAACAAACAAACAAACAAACAAAAAAACAAAAAAAACCCATAAATAAATAGAAGGAAGCAAAAAAGGAAAGACCAAAGGAAAAGAAGTTACAGTATTTTTTTTGGTACCGGGCATAGAACTCTGAATCACTGAGCTAAGTCCCTGGCCCAAGAAGTTACAGTCTTAATTAGCATGCCCTTGAGATTAGTGGTTAGCGATAACATGGGTGATGGATATCTACGAATCAGTGGATGAACAGAGGATGGATAGGTGAGTAGATAGATGAGTGAAGGGATGGACAGTTGGAATCACAGTTGGATGAATACATAGGTAGGTGGATGGATGGATGGATACCTAGTATCTTGGCCTTTCTAAACTTTTCCATCCTACTACCATAGTTGCCTCCCCATCCCTGACACAAAAGCACCCAGGTCCACATCCACAGGGAGTGAGGCTCAGCCCCTTGGAAGGTGGATGGATCTAGATCTTCAGCCCCTGGGGCTCTGACCTTCAGCCAAAAGAGAAAGGGACATACAGAGCAGTGGTCGTATCCCACGCTATCCCACGCTTTCAGCTCTGTGCTCCCGGGAGAGCTTTCCTCTTAGGGCTGAGGAGGCCTCCTGTGAAAATGCAGTGGCTGGAACTTCTAGGTCAGACACCCACAACTCATTGAAGTGGGTACTCAAGCCAAGGCATTTTTAAACCTCTGACCTGCTGGCCAAAGCCGAGTCCCATTCATTTCTCCGCACCATCTCCCTCTCCACTGCTCAATTTTGCAGCGCTGCCCCAGGATCCGCTCCTTGTTGAACATTTTTCTCTCCTTCACTAGCTCTTTTCTGTTGTCTTAATGCTCTGTTCTCCTAATGGTGGAACGGCCGTGGCTGAACGTGCACTGGAGCTGCCTGATTTCCTCCCTGTCTGGGCTTGTGGTGCTTAACTGCTATTTCCTTTCTTTATGACGGACAGGCAGCACCCAGCCCTGGAGGGGAGACGCATGCTGGGGCAGTAGTTCTGAGAGGATTGAGTCTGGTTGGAACTCAGAAGCCCCACAGGAAGACTTTCTAAGGCAGTGTTTTGGGGTTCCTAGAGCCCCAAGTCCCTAGATTGGCACCCTGGGACCAGACAATGGACTAGTGTGGGAAAAGTCTAGGAATCTGGGCTGGGATCTTTCCCTGGCTTTGGGTAAGTCACAGCCCTTTTAGGGGCCTCCTATTTTTTAAACCTGTAAAAGCAGAGTTTGAACCTGGAAATTCACACAAAGGGAGTCAGATCGCCTGGTTCTAACTCAAGCTGCAGGATTTCTCAGGTGCATGACCTTGGGAAAGACATTTAGCTCTCTAAACCTCAGTCTCCCGCATCTGTAAAACAGGCATGATAAGATCATCAACCTCACAGAGTTGTGGGAAATAAAACTCTGTGCCAAAGACAAGTAAAGGCTCAGTAATTGGTGGTAATTGTTGCAGTGTTAGGGGAGAGGAAGCAAAGGGGAGAGGAGGCAGGCATTTAAATTCCAGGTGCTCCCACCCAATCGTGCATGCCAAGCTGGCTCCCTCTTTCCCCATCTTCTTTGTTTGTTTACTTGGAAACAAGTTCTCCCTATGCATTC